TGTTACGGATGAGTTTCGGAACGCGCCGTGGCGAGCGTGAGCCCGCTGAAAGTAGTGCGCGCAAGGATACAACAATAGAGCGTGCAAGGGGAGAAGGAGCGCGCGGGAGTCAGTCGTTGTAGAGTTAAGATGGCGATGTAACGTTATGAAGATTGTAAGCGACACAGCGTGCTGTAATCTATAGCAATAAACTCATTCACGCATATTCAAGGCAATTAAATCATTAACATATAAAAGTGGCGCCCAACACGGCTAACGCACGCAGAGAAAACGAGCTCAGTAAGCATAATCAGCATAAATCGCAAAAGTTCGCGATCGACACGGAGGGCCGCGGAACAAAGCACCGGCCGGAAGAGTCGCATAAGAAGTAACAGTGTCGAGCACTGAAAGCACAAGGTACGCATACGCGTGCATAAGCAACGGAAAAGCACGAAACAAGGCTTAACACACGACATCGAGGCGTGCCGAGGAAAAACACCGACGGCACAAACACGTAGTAAACGCAAGGACTTAACCAAGGAAAGTCTCGTACGACGATTGCACAGGATATCGTCTTATACAATCGTAACATAACCTAGACGATTCGAGTCGCCGCAGCGTGGGGCTCGACGGTTTTTCATAAAGGTGAGTGAGTCGCTTTATGAATCCTTTCTAATCCTAGTGTATTTCAGTTCCTTTCGCAAAATGACGGAAGTAAGGAAGCTAAAGCAAACGCGTGCTCGATATAAGGGTAACGTAACAAGAATATTGACATTTTTGGATTCCGATGAGCCAAAAACCGCGATCGATGCGCAAGTAAGACTAGAGAAGCTCTCAGAATTATGGGACAAATTCGAGACCATACAAAATGATATCGTCGAAGCAAGGTTAGAAGCAGACGCACAGCTCGAAGATATACAAGCAGAAAACGAAGCAGAAGGACAACTCTTCGAAGAAGGCTATTACAAAGCGGCGGCGAGACTTCAAGAAATTATTGCAGCGGAAGCAGCTGTAGCTCAAGCGGATCAAGCGGCGCAAAATTTGCCAGCGCCAGTTCAACCACAGCGGAAAAACAAACCGAAGCTCCCAGAAATAAAGCTGCCGGAGTTTAGCGGAGATTTCACAAAGTGGATCTTCTTCAAGAATAGTTTTGAGACAACTATACATCGCGATGCAGATCTGACACCGATGCAAAAGCATCAATATTTGATTGGCCAACTTCAAGGGGAAGCACGTCAGGTCATTCAGGGATTCACTATATCCGATGAGAATTATTGGAGTGCCTGGAATCTTCTTAAGGACACGTATGATAACACGATGTTAATAATCGAAACGCATCTTGAAGCATTACTGAAATTCCCGGACATAACAAAGGAAAACAAGGCCGATTCAATCCGGCAATTCATTTGGCATATCCACACGCACACGAAGTCTCTCGAGGCTCTGCAGCAACCAGTCGACCAGTGGGAGACAATGCTCATTCACTTAGCAAAAAAGAAGCTGGATTTCGCGGAGCAACGCGACTGGCAGAACATCGCAAAGGATCGAACACCTGCAAACATGCCGACGATGGATGAATTTTTAAAGTTCCTGACAGAGCGCTGTCATACGATGCGAGTACTTAATCAAGGCAAGGTAAAGCAACCTCCGAACGAGAAACCAACAGGCAAAAAGAAGACGGAAAAGAAGGTTTCACTCACTACGACGTCAGCAAACTGTAAAATTTGCGAGGGCAGCCATGCTATTTACAGGTGTGAAGAACTCCTGAATCAATCGATATCAGACAGGATGAAATTAATACGGGAGAAGAAACTCTGTATTAACTGTCTGAATGCGGGACACTTGGCAAAGGATTGCAGATCGTCGACGCGTAAAAAGTGCACTGGTCGGCATAATACACTCCTACATCGGGAGTCAGAGAATCAATCGAACGAGAACAATGCACCAGCGACACCGGTAGTCTCTTGTTGTTCGGATAGCACAAACGTCAGTGAGGCGAAGCAGGCAGCGAGCATTAAACAAGAAGATTCATCTAGGAGCATCTTCTACGTACAGAAGCAATCATCAAGAGTAATTCTTTCGACAGTTAGAATCTTCGCTTATGATTCCGATGGAAATCCACAGATTTGCAGGGCACTGCTCGATCCAGGATCGCAGTCCAACCTAATAACGGCAGATTTCACGAGAAAGTTGAAGTTACCATGCCGATCGGAAGATCGTCCTATCACAGGAATAGGCCAAATGCAAACAAAGGCAGCAAAGACGACAAACTTGCGAATCAAATCAACTCATGGGGAGTTTACAACAACATTAGAATGTCTGGTATTGCCGACTATTACGGAGCGCTTGCCTCAGAGCAAGATCGACGTAAGCCAGATTATTTTACCAAAGGATGTTCGCCTGGCAGATCCCGAGTTTGATGAACCGGCTGCTATCGATTTGCTCATCGGGTCTGGTTTATACTGGAAAATACTTTGTGGAACACCGAAGAACCGCATTAAGGGCCAGCCAGCATTGCAAAATACTATGTTTGGTTGGATTGTTGGCGGAGAGATGATCGACGCTAATCCCAATTCATCAGGAACGTGTTTAACTATAACAAATGACATGTTGAATCAACAGATAGAACGTTTCTGGACACAGGAAGAAATTGTTAGAACTAAACAATATTCAGAAGAAGAGAAAGCATGCGAGGAGTATTACATCAAAACCTTCAAGCGAGATTCAACGGGAAGATTTATCGTAAGATTACCGACACGAGCAAATGTCAAGTTAGGAGATTCGAAGCAGCTCGCCTTGAAACGCTTTCTCGCATTGGAGCGTCGCTTTGCAAAGAATCCGGATCTAAAGGCAGAATATGTCAAGTTCATGAGAGACTACCAAGAACAGGATCACATGTCAGTGGTATCGGACGACGAGGATCAAGAGGCTGAATCTTACGTTCTACCTCATCAAGCAGTTCTACGACCGGAGAGCGTAACGACAAAACTACGGGTCGTATTTGACGCATCGGCAAAAACGACGCTTGGCACTTCTCTGAACGACAAGCTTATGGCAGGTTCCAATTTACAAACAAATCTGTACGATATACTTCTTCGTTTCAGGACTCACGAGTACGTGGTAACAGCAGACGTCGCTCAAATGTTTCGACAGATACGCGTCGATAAGAGGGATCAAGGGTTGCTGCGAATTCTCTGGCGGGAAAGCCCGGAGGAACTGATAAGGTTATGCAAGCTGCATACTGTCACCTACGGCACAACATCGGCACCGTTTCTGGCTATACGGAGTCTCATACAGTTGGCAATAGAAGAGGGCAGAGATCTGCCACTGGCCGCATTAGCCCTTCTCGAAGATAGTTATATGGACGATGTGATTAGTGGAGCTAGAACGCTTGCCAAAGCGATCGAATTGCAGAAACAATTGTCTCAGTTGATGGAGAGAGGTCAGTTTCATCTCCATAAATGGCGCTCGAACGATCCGCGAGTTTTAAAGCACATTGCTACGCAGTGCAAGACAGACGACGTGCTTATCATCGACAAGGAAGGAGCCCTCAAAACATTGGGACTCTTGTGGAACGCCAAATCCGACTGTTTGCAGTATGAAATTAAAATGGAAAGCACGCAAGCAATTACGAAGCGAGTTGTGTTATCAAAAATAGCGCAAGTCTTCGATCTACTCGGCCTTCTGGCACCGCTGCTTATTACCGAGTGGGAGAACTACTGCGCCTCTTTGGCAAGGATTAACACGCTCCAAATACCACGAAACGTGGTTCCGGCGAACCAGTCGACGACGTTTGATATATACGGATTTGGAGACGCCTCGGAGCGAGCATTTGGCGCTTGCCTATACGCAGTAAGTCAAGATGATCAAGAAACTATTCACTCGCACTTAATTTGTGCTAAAACAAAAATAGCACCGCTCAAAACCATCACAATTCCCCGATTAGAGTTAGAAGCAGCTCTTCTGCTCGCAAATCTGTATGCTAGCGCAGAAAAAGCATATAGTAAGCGAATCCGAAATACAAGATTAGGCAGCGATTCGCGAGTTTTGTTGGGATGGATAAAAACTCAGCCTCACAAGCTAAAAATGTTTGTAGCTAACCGCGTTTCAAAAATTCAAGACATCACGAAGAACATTCCCTGGTATCATGTGCCAACGACAGAGAACCCAGCGGATCTACTATCGAGAGGAGTCAGCTTTGACACATTGGCTGAAAGCAAGCTTTGGTGGCACGGCTCACATTGGCTGACCAGCGAGTGTCCATGGCCGGCAAAAATGGAAGAACCAGAAACAGTCTTGCCGGAACTTAAATCGACAGCTGTAACGTTGGTAATGAACGAGACGTCGAACGTGCTAATGAGGTTCTCGACGTACAGCAAGCTCAAGCGAGTAATCGCTCAGTGCATGAGATGGAAGCAAAACGCGCTTGGAACAAAAAGGACTGGTCCGTTAATAGTCAAAGAGCTCGAAGAAGCAGAGAAAATTATCGCAAGATTAGTTCAGCGGGATATCTTCTCCCAAGATTATGAAGCCTTAGTCGCAGGTCGAAATTTGTCGAGTAAGAGCAAGTTGAGAGCATTAGATCCCTTTATAGACGACAGGGGATTGATTAGAGTCGGTGGGAGACTCAGACATTCGAGTCTCTCGGTAGATCGAAAGCATCCCATCGTTCTACCCGCTAGACATTATGTTACGGGCTTGATCATGCGTCAGGAACACGTACGTTTGCATCATTGTCCCCCGGAGCAACTCCTCAGTGTGGTGCGATATCGATATTGGCCCTTAAGTGGACGTCGGGAAGCGCGTAAGGTGATAAAAAATTGCTTGAATTGCTTCAGACTTCGTCCAACGACTCCGGAGGTTAAGATGGGCGACCTACCTAAGCAAAGAGTGGCTGGATACGAACGTCCTTTCACTAACACTGGCGTTGATTACGCCGGACCGCTGCAAGTACGCGAGAGTCGGCGTCGCGGAAGAACACATGTCTCTAAGGGATATATCGCAATTTTCAGGTGCTTTAGCACCAAGGCAGTTCACTTGGAGTTCGTGTCAGCTCTGACTACGGAAGCGTTTTTGGCAGCTCTAAGTCGCTTCACTGCTCGGCGCGGCATCTGCTCCCAGATGTTCTCCGATAACGGGACCAACTTCGTGGGAACCGCTCGAGAATTAAGGGAAATTTACGCATTCCTCGAGAAAGAAAAAGACGAGATTCAAACTAGTCTTGCGCAGCAAAAAATCACATGGAGCTTCATTCCTCCCCGAGCTCCACATTTTGGTGGTTTATGGGAGGCGGCGGTCAAGATCGCAAAACGACACCTGAATTCTGTCACACAGGGAAGAGTGCTCACGTTTGAAGAGTACGCCACGCTTCTAGCCGAGATCGAGGCGATCTTAAACTCACGACCCCTCACTCCTTTATCAAGCGATCCCACAGACCTCTCCGTACTAACTCCTGCCCATTTCCTAGTTGGCGACTCGCTCGTTCTACCTGTACAACATAATTATCACGAGGTTCCAGATAACCGTCTAACAAGGTGGCAGCATATACAAAAATTGAGCCAACAATTCTGGCGTCGATGGCAAGCAGAGTACCTGCAAGAGTTGCAGCGACAAAATAAATGGGCAGATTCCGGATTTCCAAATATCCAGTTGAACACGAGGGTTTTGTTAAAGGAGGATCACGTACCTCCTCTTCAATGGACTCTAGGCAGAGTCACCGAGTTATTTCCCGGTCCAGACGGAGTTGTAAGAGTCGTCATGGTTAAGACTCGAAACGGCGAATTTAAAAGATCGGTTAAGAAACTATGTCCGATTCCAATTGATGACATGGAGTGATGATATGAGACTCGTAAACCGATAGCCAAGCGGAGTCTCTATTTACTTATTTATAAGATTATTCTATCAAAGGGAGTATGAAATCCTTAATCTCTTCCATGCTCTAATCAACCCTTTAATTTAGGCTCAAGGCAATGATATTTACTTGTTACGTGTAAGCCGATATACATTCAGTTTGATTTCAGGAGCCGAATCCAGGTTTATTTATCATTAGCGGAACTTAATTTGTAATCGACATGCAAAGGAGACTATTGAAAGACCGTCCTTTCAAGGGAGGCGGAAAATGTTACGGATGAGTTTCGGAACGCGCCGTGGCGAGCGTGAGCCCGCT